CAACCAGCTGGAGTTGGCTGGCCGAGTATTTGAAATTGCTCTTTCTCGTTTTCGTTTCTAATTGTTGATTTACCACATGACACTGGCGAATCGAAGAGTTGCTGGTGATCTAGAGTTCATTTTAAAAAGTACACATTCCAGGATTTGACGTTGACGTGGGACCGCTGTTCCAAACACCAGCAGAAGCTGCTCGACAAGCTGTCGATGCCGACGTACACGTAATTGGAGCTAGTAGTCTTGCGGCTGGACACCTAACACTTGTACCTCAGCTGGTTGAAGAACTTGCCAAGTTGGGAAGAGAGTAAGTTGTATGTAATTTACTGTTGAAGAATCCGATTGGAAGTAAGTAGATTCTTGTGGGTCGTTTCAGGGACATCCTCGTGATTGTTGGTGGTGTGATTCCTCCGCAGGATTACGATGCCCTCTACAAAGCTGGTGCATCCCTAATTTTTGGACCTGGAACGAGACTACCGTCTTGTGCCAACCAGGTTTGAATGGTTTTTGAGGTTGTAATACCTTGTGCATCTCCGAGTAAGTATGGTAATAGTCAGGTGAAGATGAATGATCAGTTGGATTTATGGGGATTGAGCCTATCNTTCTCAATATAACCGAGCGTGCGCGGGCGGGCCGGCGGACTATGAAGCAGCCATTCACTGAGCCGACTCGCACTAGCTGTCCCTAACTGCAACCAACGCTTCACTTTTACTCGAACTCGCTTGAATAGATTAGTTTTCTACCCCTACTCTAAAACTGCGAAAAAATCTGATAACTCGCGTATAGTTGAAACCCATGATGTTGTTGTACAGCAGCTGGGATCGCTAGTTGTTGCTGGAATGCCTGGTTGAAACTTTCTCGAACTTCTATTTTGAGGACCGCCATGCAGTAGTATAAAGGTCGCTTCATTCCCCCACTTTTATACTGTCAGTTTGAAGGTTATACGGCTAAGTTAAGAAGCTAGCCTATGATTCATTAGCGGGATACAATGAATAGCAATATATGTTAGTATCGACTGGAATGTAATATGTCGATTGAAATCACTGAATTTTTTTTTCTCTATAATTTTCATTGCCTTTCAGTTCCAATGTTCATTTCGAGGTGAGAATGATAAGCTAGTGTCATAAAAATTTTTAAAAAATGCAATTATGAAGTAGTAGAAAGAGGATTGATGTTGCTTATTCAGGTTCTGGACAAACTTGAAAATCCCCCGAAAAAGAATGCTCAGAAATCTTGAATCCAAAACTAGGATATACTTTGTGATACGTCGATACTAACATTT